ATGAGAAGGATGAAGATGCAGAGAAGACGAAGTTTCACTCTCAACTGAGTGAAGCCATTGTGATGGAGAAACCGAATGTGCGGTGGGACGATGTGGCGGGTTTGGAGGCTGCAAAAGAGGCCCTGAAGGAGGCGGTAATTTTGCCGATTAAATTTCCTCACTTGTTCACTGGAAAGCGTACTCCCTGGCAGGGCATTCTACTTTATGGTCCCCCTGGAACTGGCAAATCCTATCTTGCGAAGGCAGTTGCAACAGAGGCGAACAACTCCACCTTCTTCTCAGTCTCCAGTTCGGATCTTGTGAGCAAGTGGTTGGGTGAATCGGAGAAGTTGGTGAAGAATCTGTTTGAATTGGCTCGTGAGCATCGTCCCAGTATCGTGTTTATTGATGAGGTGGACTCTTTGTGTGGTTCGCGAAGTGAAAATGAGTCAGAGTCTGCTAGACGCATAAAAACGGAGTTCCTGGTTCAAATGCAGGTTGGTGGAATTGGAGTGGAGTGTAAATGTGGTTGAATGGTGGTTTTAGGGGTATTGTTGGTTTTGTTGGTGTTGTAGGGTGTGGGAACAAACAATAAGGATGTTTTAATTCTTGGAGCGACGAACATTCCTTGGTGTTTGGACTCAGCTATTCGACGTAGATTTGAGAAGAGAATTTACATTCCGTTGCCCAAAGCTCCTGCTCGTGGAAAGATGTTCCGAATTCACCTTGGAAACACCCCGCATGAGCTGTCAGATGCTGACTTCCAGAAGTTGGCAGATGCGACGGAAGGATATTCGGGAGCTGATATCGCGATTTGTGTACGAGAAGCTCTAATGTCCCCAATTAGGAAGGTGCAAACGGCTACCCATTTCAAAAAGGTTAGTTCTTATTGCTTGATGAGTTGGAAGGAGCTATAGCTTGTAATTTGCGTGATGAACTTACTCATTTGTGATGGTGAGTGGGTGAAGCTATTTGTTATGACCATCTACAGGGTATGCTTCATGATTTTTCACTCTCCTGTTATGTGGTGAACTTGTTTCTTTGTATGGTATTGTTTCACGACTTAGTGTTTTCCGTGGTGTTTCCAGGTCATTTATTTGATGACTTAGCACAGTATTCCGTAGTAAGTTGACAACTGGCACTTATAAAACGCTGTTCGAATCGTTATCACGTGTTTATCTGAGGTAACTTTGTTCTTTTTTCACGAAGTGATAGGTGTAATGGTATTGATTTAAATTTTCCAACCTAAGACGCCTACACATTGGTAGACCTTCACGTCACACTTCGCCTCAACAAAATCATGTTTTGTTGTAAAAGTAACTCTAAAATCCTCATTTGATATTGAAACGGCGTAAAGTAAGGTATTGAATTATGGCCCGATATGAGTCGGCCATGTTTTCGTGAGAAGTAGTTGTAAAGAAATGTGCATTTCAGGTCCGTGGTCCATCGCCGTCAGATAAGAGTGTGATGGTTGATGATCTGTGGACTCCCTGTTCTCCCGCTGACCCACAGGCGAAAGAAATGGATTGGACCCAAATCAACGGTGACAAGCTGCTTGAGCCCATTGTCTCGATGGTAAGTGAATGTGGCTTGTTTATATGTGTAGACTTATATGATGTGCGAGAAGGTTGGATATTAAAA